AAGCAAAACACTGATCAAACTCCATGGCAGCCTCTGTGCTAGGAATTTTATTTGACTCTGAGAGACCAAAGTTTCAACCTATTCTCAACATCCTTGATAAATGAGCTTGGATTTCCCCTATACCAGGATGCTGCTTTGGGATTCACGTTCAAAAACACTGTAAGCTGAATATATTTCAAGTAATTTGAAATTTCAGTGATGACTTTGAGAAAATGAGTTCCCATCTGCATTGTCTTTTCTTTCCTCTGGGGAACTTTTGTTTGATGCTCAGGTTTTGTCAGAGGGTCTGATATCCCTCCATATGAGACTCTGGCAAGTTAGTAAGTTTATCTAGGATCTGTTTTTGTGTTGAACTGAGTTAATCTCATTCAAGAATTGCTGTACACATTTTAAAGAGTCTACATTCCCCATATGTTTTTCTTGTGTAGTATTGTATAAGCTCAGTTTTTGAGCTGGCCTCACAAACAAGTGAGTTTATGTGGTTTTTCTGTTTCATTTTGTTCGAAAGCTTGCCTCTGGTCTAGAGCATTGTGTTTGAGTTTCTGTCTTGTACCAGGTTGAAGGTCATGGCAAGTGTTTTTCATGGGATGTCTAAAATGTCAGGTTTTTTTTTCCTCTTCTGAGAAAAACTGCTTCTTGTGCCTGGGATTTTAGTAGTTACTCTGAGAAATTTTTATATAAATCATTTTATTTGAAGTATACTGAAAAAGTATAGATTGTTTATTCTGATTGGTATAACAAGGTCTTTAAAAAAAAAGACAAATTATTGTAAATTGTGTCTCTAAAGGAACCTATACAGCACACAAAAAACAGGGTTATGAAAATATAATAATTTCCTACTTTTGGATAGTATTATTAAATTAGTTTATACTATTTCTTCAAAGTACTTACTCTGATCAGTTTAATGATAAATAAGCACTTACATAAATTAAATAGTCCTAATAGTCCCAGGAGTTAATGAAAATAAATTTGTTTTGACAAAGGTTTTATGTTTATGTCAATTTTAAAAGCAAAACCTTCTAAGTTACTTAAACTAAATATTATGTGAAATATATCTTATTTAGGGAAAGGGAGTAGTTTTTGTTAATTCCAGAATGAGAAGAA